GATGAGAATTTAAATTATCTTCACTCCATACTTCTTCATCATCTTCAATTATTTCAGAATTATGTAGTTTATAAGGTTCTTGATAATCGAGATAGGTTTCTTTTGTTACTTTCAACCTATTATAGTGAAAAATGCTATCCAGTAATAATTTTTGTATATTTTCTTTTAATTCTATTTCTGTTTCAGTTACTGGTGTTTTTGTTAGATATATTGAACTTATAGATGTGCTAATAAAAGTCTAACAACATTAAGCGGATTGATAATCATTTCCAAAGATTAAACTTGGCTTTGAATCGTAATATAAAAACCATTTAACAAATTGTACAAATATGATTATGATAAAACTACTGCACTGACTGAACGTAAAACTGCTATGTGAATATTCTTATACTTATCCATTTATGCTTATCATTTATACGTTATCATTTATTTTGAACACGCTGTACTTATCTTATAATCGAAAGTGCATTGAATTGTTGGAGAATGTCACGTCTGAAAAATTTGTGATATGTAATGCGATAATATATAACTTTTTAAAAGTCACACACATATCTCGTATCAGAATCGTGACATATGATGAGGGGGGAGGGAGAGGGAGGGGGAAAGGAGGGGGAGCGGGAGTACGCTGCAACTCCCTGGATTTTTCCTCCTAAGGTGGAGAAATGTTCCGCGCGACTGAGAGCGCTTGAAGTAGTCGAACATCCGTTATGCTCAATGTACCTGAAGGTAGGTGACCAAGGAACCGTAATTTCAACATCAAAAGATCACCAAGCATTGTGGAAATAAATTTCCAATGCAATTAGATGGAATAACATCAGAGAACTCACGGTACTTGCTGATTGGCATTCTTCATTCGGTAGCAAGATCAGTATCTAATGTAATAAATTTTAAGAATACAGATATTTATTACAAAAATAAAATAATATATAAAATAATATAATTATTTTGTGAAAATTATTTTCACGGAAGTTTTCTAATTTATTTTTATTGCTCTGTTACTTATTGTTTATAACTGATTTATTATGTATAATACGTAGATCTAATACAAATGTATTTTTCTATATAATATTTCTTAATTTTTGATATAATATTTGACTCCCATGTTTCATCTTTCCACATAATATTCATTAATTTATAATATATAGTATAAAAACTACTGAAATTGTAAATTAAAACTATTATTATCTGAAAATTGATTATCTTCAAAACGAATTTGTCATAGCTGTTCTCTCTTAGATGTGCCAATACTTCCGATTTGCTCTTGCCCGTGCTAACAAACTATCTAATGCTAACGCCACCCAAGTCACTCTTGCCTTTCTCTAAAGAATGCATCTTTAGACTACCTAGGTTCACAACGATCAATGCCTTCGTACAGACTGTCATGCGGTATAAGTTGCGATGCCTGCATGTCCACTTGTATGTCTAATACCGAAGCGACCGCGATATTATGTCAAATTGAGTTAGTATTTTCAGTATATGGTGTGGCTTTCAGTGCCTGATCCGAGCCCTTTCCCAATCAAGATCTGATACTGATGCTTTGTTAAGTCAATCCGTAGTTTCTGTATCTCTAGATCCAGCCATACTTGCAAAAAGAAAAGCAAAATATAAAATGATTCAATCCAGTTAGGAAGTCACTCAACTGTAAGGACAAACAATTAAAGAGTGTAACAGTTCTAAAAATAAATACTTCAAATCAAACGTACGAATTACTACGTTGTTGTTGCTCTCAATCGCCCGTTTTTATTAATTAATGTTTTTTAAATACTTTTTAATAATTTTTTTTTTAATTATTAAGAGGCACGATAATGTTCTGGGTTAAGTAAATTATTTACCTTAACAAAATTATCTTTTTAAAAAAAGGTAAAAAAAAGGCGTCAAGTGTACATGTACCTTCCATAAAAAACTGTACTTTACATAAACTAAAAAAAAAACCGTTACATAAATAATATAGTTCAAGTGGTAATGTGTTGTTAATTTTTTATTATAAATTACCCCTCAGTAGTACGTATGCATGTATTAAAAAAGAAATTAAATCAAATCTTTAAATTACGCCAATTGCAAAACGAATATATAATTTCTTGCAACATATAACATATGCTACTGTATTTTATAAATTGCGAAAAGAACATATATTTTATTGCAACATATAACATTTAATTAACCAGACAAAATGATACGTACCTTTATCTTTCTATTCAAGAGTCTTTTATATTTACAATGGAATACAACATTTAATCTAAAAAAAATTAAAGAAGCATCACAAAATGAGAAAATTTTATTAAAATAAAATTTTTTATGTAAAAATACTTGGCGCACTGCTAGACTTCAAAATATAGGGGAAAGTGGGCGAATTGTGAGCAGCGGGAAATTGTGCGCATCCTGGTTTGGTACTTTGCCGATAGATGGAGACATCGCCGTGATGAAATTTTTACGCAGGAGGTCGTCCTCTTAAGTTATAACCACAAAACATACGACGTTAGTACATTGATAAACAGTGAAAGATAAAAAAGTGAAAACATACATTTTCTTGTTATTTCAGTGTTCAGAAAATAAGGTGGTAAGTCCGTATTTTTAATTTATTGGTTTAAAGTTGCATACGTTATTAAAGTACGTTATTATGTGCGTCTTTCGATCCGTTATTTATTAAGTTTGGTTAACTAGTATCGAAGTAATCGTATTTCATATAGAGTCAGATCGTGGCGGGTAACTGTGCGCAGGCGGTTTGAAATGCGCACAATTACCTATCTTCAATAGACTATTTAGCTATTTTCCAGTATACACAAGTGAAACTGAATTTGAAGTGAGCTGAGTATTTTATACTCAGATTATGACGTCACTACTTGTTTACTTTTGTAAAAA